CGAGAACAACGTTAGAAATGTTGAGTGGTTTCGTTTTAAATTAATCAAGGGTGAAATTGACCTCGGCTGTTATAGCCGTATGTATACAGCCCGAGAGATCTGGAAAATATTAAATTTAGAGTACAGTGAATAAAACGTATCTAGATGAAATCAGACTGACTGACTGACTTATTTTTTTTTTTGTCCGGACAGGATCTTTATGCAACTGGTCTTTTAATTCGAATTATGAAGGCTTTTTATAAACTCCCGGTAATACACAGTAATACATTAATTAATTGTCTATTATTTTTTAATTGACGCGTAACTGATATGTTCAGTACAATACCAATTGTTTAAGATTTTTGAGTTGTTTAACGTTGTATGCGATAATTTCGCTATATTATTATACTCACAACTTATGTTATAATGCTATGATATCTGCCTGATCCGTTGACCGTGTTCCACGCAACTACGTACCTATGGTAAATAGATAAATTGTTTCGAGAGTCAGATTACAGAAATTATTGATTTACTGTCGTAGTGCCGTTAAGTTGCATATATTGGGTTTCACATCTTTTACATCTAGAAATCCTTAAGTACTTACAGATTTGTTTGGACAACACGTGTATAGGTACCTATTTCTTCAGACTGTTTACGAGTTTATACGTCGACATCTGTTTATTGTATATTATTCATAAATCGATTTTTTACAGACACTTTGAATTTGTTTTGAGTTAAAAATAATTGGATGGAATGTGAAAAGCCGTGTATAAACTTATAATAATAATAAAATGATGGTCACAAAATAACTCTCTATACGCATCAATGACAAATTAATAATTTCGACCCATACTTATTATTAATTTTTAAACTATAAGAATTTGTGTATGGTCGTGGATGAATTCAATAACGCTAACATGTTGATAGTAAATTGTTGTTTTTTTTTTTTTTTTTTTTAAGCGTATTACATAAATAAAGTAATATTTATTAAAATAATCATCGTAATAAAAAGGGGAATTTCGTTTTATTATTATTTTTTTTTTTTTCAAAGTTATTTATCGTTAATTTTGTAAATTGTTTTACAAGACAATGCTCGTGGAATCTACTGAATAACAACAATACAATAATACAATAATATTACGGTGCCAACGCGGTAGTGGTTTGTATGCCGAAGTTTTACCTAGACGTATTTTTGTAAATTCCCAACAACTAACGCAAACAATTATGAAAATGTTTGATCGTACAATATTATGCCTTGTTGACAGAGTTCAAAGATGTATGGTAGGTACCTTATAATTATTAACAATTAATGAATGTAAAGTTTGTTGCGTTTGTTGCGAAGTTTGTTCAAAGGCAAATAAAATGTGTCAATTAAACTCTATAAATTATATTCACTCGAATATTCCGCGAAACAGCAAAACCGTTGTAATTTCGTTTTGTCGATTTGAGTGTCCGTCAAAACGTGACTAAGGGTTTATATATTGTTATGCCAATCATAGGCGTGTCTAACCGAATTTTATGTCTTGTGACTTACAACTTTTATTAAAAAAAAAAAAAATTCTCATGCATTGTTTATAACGAAATATTATTGTTCTCTATCAGTCTACCATTTTTGAATAATAAAGTGAACACAAAATTATTAAAACGGTCAACACTCGTAAAAAAATATATAGATAAAAAATGTCTGTACAAAAATGAAATAAATAAATCAATGAATGCGTCGCTTGCGTTAAATTCGAAACCGGTCGTACAATACACTTATCACAGTACTCCAGGCGACACATTCATTCATTAATTTATTTTATTTTTTTGTATTAAAATTGTTTGTTTATACATTTATTTACCGTATCTACCATTTTTATTGTTCTGTATACACTGTAACAAATCATATACTATGTAATTACTTAATTATATGGCGGTGTAACCCAGGCCTGTACATGAATAATATTTCCGTAGTTAAATTTAAAGGTACCGAAAAATACTGTAATTTATTAATTCCAAATAGATAATGCAGAGTTTTTTTTTAGAGAGTTATATAAATGTTTACTCGGATGGGGGTGGGAGGATTTATCGCTACCCTATTAAAGGGCATTTGTTCGGTTCGTTAAGTGGCGCCGGCCATTAGCTACACTGCCGCTGCTGATGAAATCTAGTCACGCGAGAAGCTTGACAATTGAATTTCCAATATTCGTTTTGCATCTCGGGAAAAAATGTGACATGACGCCCCTGTATTTACAGGGCAGCGGGAAAAACGATTTCTACGCGATCGGCACTTGGCATTTGTTATTATTATTACTATTATTACGCATTTATTGAATACGGACTTGGCTCAAAGTACACTGTAACTGTGGGGTACATTCACGTATATTACGGCGAGTCGTTATAGTAGTGGGACGGACGTGGGAAGGTGACCGTTTGTATTATAATATTTATTGGCGTTTCCGAACCGGCAGTTACCCGGAAAGCCGAACTTACAATCTTTTCTACCCACCGCCGCCGTCACCGAAAACGCCAGAAAACATATTGAAAAATCGTTTAAAACGATAAATCGTTTGCGATCTATTTCGAAAATTGTCTTTCAACATAACCGCACTCGGCCACAAACGAAAACGAACGTCGTACACAACTGCGGTTTTATTAAAACCAACCGTGCACAAAGACATATCCGCCGCAGAATGATTACGGTTTTACTCGATACGTACAAAGTGAACGCCTTCGACAAAACGAAATATATAGGTACCGTATAAGTAAGTAACTGTTGCCGACTGTGCCGTGGCAATATTATTAAAAGAATCGTTCCGAAAATGGCAAACAGAGTGTCCCATACGACGATGTATCCATTGGTCGTATCTCGAAATGTGTAAGGTCACTTTTTATTTTTGTTTTCACAATTTAAGGAAAAGGCTACAGCTTACAAATGTTACATTAAAGTTTTTTTTTTTTGTTAGTCATATTTTTGTGGACGAAACGACTACTGCACACCTACATTTCGATGTATTATCTATTAATTTCTGAATTAAAATTAAGATCCGTTAAAAATTCCATAAATATACACTATACAGTATATTAGTTCAAATACATTTTGTTGTTGACATTTTCAATTTCGTCAATCCGTTGACGAGATATTCCACTTTTAAGTGTGGGCAGGGGTATGGTAGTGGAGCACTATTAAAATGCCGCTCGTCGTGCCGTCACACACAAACGATGCTGATCTATTAAAAATCGGATTTTAGCTGGAGATCGGCGATATCAAAAATGTAAAGGTCAATAATAGTTTCTATGCGGTACTCGATACCAATACTCCTTGTTGAAAAAAAAAAATGAATCAAAATACGTTTTAAAAAAATGTGCACACGTAAATGTATACAAACTAATTATTTATCTTCTTCTTCTTCAGGTTTTACGGTGCTTGAAGAACTTTCGCGGAGTCAACTACATTTCTCCAGGTATCTTTAGCGACGATGTCCTCTATCGTTACTCCCCGTGAACACTTGTTGTTTAGATAATTGTTTAACCTGTCTACCTAGCGGTGTCTAGGGCGACCCATAGTTCTCATTTATGTTCCCTTCCAAAGCTAATATGTTACATTATGTATATAATTTTATCATTCATATCAGTGATCGGAATACAGAAATGTCAGAACTTTTTTCTGAGAAACTAAACTTAATTGCGAATAATATGTTGAAATGTCTAAAATTGTCAAAAATATACGATTTGTTTTTTTTTTTTTTTTTAATTTAATAATTTTCGTTTTTTTTTGTTTGTAAATAAATTATCAGATTTCAATATTACGATTATTTATTTGAATTAATTATAATCATCCTAACGTAATCCCGGGACGCAGAAGTTATGTTCGCCGCGCTAGAGAAAAAGCGGATAAGATAGACAGTAAAACAGCGACCGCGTTCGATAGCTGAATTTGCCGACTTTATTATCTCCTAAGACCGTGACACAATCTATTTCACCTAGACGTGGTTACCACGTTACCACTTATCACTTCAACATAATAAAATATCGCAACCGATGTCCCGAATTACCTCGATACTGTTTTAAATGATCGAAGGAACCGGAATATCGAAACGCCCATCCCTACTTTTAACTGTATCTATTTTACAATATATTTGATATCACCGTAGGTTCCGCCTATTTATGACAATATTTCGCGTTCTAATGCCCCAATCAGCAGTTTATCGTATACGTTTGTATTAAAATCTTAAATTATCATAATCCCGTACCGAAGTTATTCGGCGGCAGACACGTACGGCGATAATAAATCATGTAATTATTTATATCACGGTGCACGCGATTTGCATATAAGGCCGTTCCACGTTAAAAGTCGGAGAAGGATTAAAATAATGTAGGTACCTGCACACATAATATTATTATGACATTATCATAATATAATAATATACACGCGTACTTATGCATGTATAAATTCAAAATATTATCGCCGTACGCGCTGCGAAATATACGTCGAACGCTGAATAATTCATGTAAGTACATCAAAAACGAGGTAAAACTTTTACTTGTGTATTAGAGAATTTATACGACGCGCGAGTATTATACATACATCCACCGCCAAAACACGAGCAATAACAACGGCATTATGCGCAATATTATATTATTATTACGAACTTGCCGGGACCGTTTTTATTTTATATTATATACATATACACGTAATATATGCACTTTTGTATAGTTTTATTATGTATGTAGGGCGATGCGATAACACCTAAGGGCTAAAAAGCCATCGAAATTCTTACGGGGACGTGGATCGCCGTGTAATAAAAGAGGTTTAAAACCTCCCCGAGACGAACTACGTTATATCCTCTGTATCCTGGACGGCGAGCAAAGCTCCTCGTATTCGGTATGTAAAGTACCTAGTGAGTATAATAAACACGCTGTAAACGTACAGAACTAGCTTTATTAATATTTAAACCGTTTTTTATTTTTTTATTGGTCGATGTCTAAGAATACAAAAAAAAAAAAAAAAAAATTAACAAATAACCATTTTAGACAATCTATTTTAATTGCAGGGACATAAACCCGTCGTTTTTCTTAACGTTTTCTTCCGTCGCGAATCGATTGAACGGAGATTGAAAACTCACGGGTTTTCCGGAAGTTTTGCAAACTGTCCAAAGTTGTGCTTTCCGTTTGGTGATTTCAGCTTCTGATCTCCAACATTGCATACAGCCAATAGAAATCATTAAATTGAAAGTCGACGTTATTAACTGTCAAATACGAAACGATTTTTATATTTAAATAGGTATAGGTACAATACGCGTTGTTATTTAATCGTAACAAATCGTGAGCGAGGACAATTTATTGTACATAATATGACCATATTATGATTTAAGGGTAATAACTAGAGCACGGATATTGTAATAGTGAAAAACTATTGAAATTGATTGCGGTATTGCAATAAAAAATACTGAAAATTGCACTAAAAACGGTCAATTTTTTCACAAAAATGGAAATAGTTGGCTTAATTTTCGGCATATCTACAAAACAATAATAGAACACGATCATTCGAAATTCACGGAGTGACCGAAGAACAGATTTTAACAGTCAAACAATCACGTTTCACAAATTATTTTTGTATTGTATTGAATACCTACCGATTTGGAATTATCAAAATAATAATATGGTAACATTATTAGATTTTTTGGACTATAGCTAAAATAGTTGCGTAAATGAGTAAATTCAACAAAATTGTAAAAATTGCTTAACATTGCAATTGAAACTTCTAGATTTGAATTCGTACTTATATGAAACGTATTTAAAACTTACTTAGCAATAAATTGAGAAGGTAAAAAAAAAAGAGTTACAAAAGCAACAACATCCGTGTCCTAGTAATAACTATACCTGTTCTAAAGATGTCCGTCCGTATCATAAAAAACTTACCTTTAATATTTCAGTTTTATTGTCCTCGTCGTAATAACCGTCAAATTGTAATAATATATTTGATTTAGATTTATCAATTTCATGTAGTTTATTTTTTAAACTCTAAAGAACATAAAACATTATAAATATAAGTCCATATTTAAAAAAATAAAAAAAACAAAATAAAATAATGCCCATTCAAATATATAATATAAAAAAAAGGACGGTCATACTTAGTACGTGGGTGCAGCCACTATTGTAGGTGGGAAGTTGGAAAGGTAAGATATAGACGGGAATTTAATGTAAATCTGTAAACAACGATAAACTATTGCTAATGAAAAAACGATTCTGATCGGAGTTCAGTTGATAGTGTTGCTTTGTCAAAAATTTTTAATGTCATATTATATTGCAACAATGTGCGTTTCAATGACAAAAATAATTGTTTAATAAAGATTTAAATAGTATAAACGTAATAAAAACAAAAAATAAATAAAAACACGGTTGCCGATGACAACCTTATTTTTAATCTTTTAATCTTTTTTAATCTAAAGACCGAGGTTTTTCTCATTATCTAGAATATTAATGAGTATTTCAAAAAAATGACCTCTTTTAAGTACCACCCAGAGAACATTTCCTTTCAGAAAAAGTGCTATTACTTGATAATCGGAATAAGCTTTTTACTAGAAAAAGTGTTCACATAAAAACAATTATAAAAAATAAACATCATTCTAAAACCAATTCATTCCACTCACTCCACTCAGAATCTAAAATATAAATGAAATAAAATATTATAGATATTTGTATACGTACTTTCACGGAATAATAAAATTTCTTTTTTGATAATTTTGTTTTCTTGTACAATTCTTTAACTGGAGAAATATTACTATTATAGGTCAAAATACCGTTTATCAAAAATTGTTTGCACAACGATTTGTAATATTCAGCTTCCTTGTCTTTTTCCATTCTCTGCAAATTATTGAATGTTATGATTACTATATTTTTAAAATTTCTCTTTCAAAAATACTTTTAACATCAAAGTAGTTTTTGGGAAGATAGAATCTCCGTTGGTAATTCTCATTTGTCGGTCAATGAAATCCTTTTTGTCTTCTGTTTCAGCTATTTTAATTAAAACAATTATTAATTGTTTTGCGCGATACTTACTACAGATTAAAGTTTATAATCTATAAAAAAAAAAAAAAAAAAACTATAACCGTTTAAATTTTAAAATTATTGTAACCTATGATAATACGAGAAAAATGCAAACACAAGAATAGTACATATATATATACCTAACCTATCCTATAATATCGTAAAATGTCCAGAAATAAAACCAATTGAATAAATAATGTAATCATAGGGCCATAAAATATAATGTTTTATGTGAAACACCTTGCACTATACAATGTTAACAGTATTCACCCAATATTTGTTTTATTTCTTCAGTTTGAGTGTTGATCACCGACATCATTCTTATTTTCGTGTCCATATTTTTATTCAATATGTCTACACACGTTTGTTTATCTTTAGTGTTATCATTCTTCATTAAAGTCGTTAACTTTACATTTAACGAGGCTTTGAAAATATTAATTTAAGTGTTAGGTTAGGTGTACATTAGAGTGGCATAATATCAGTAACGTGCTGTTTACTTTGTTTTTGTATTTCAGTGTTCAGTCTAATGAGTTTGCTCTTGTAATTTTTAGTTTGTAATTCTTTTTTTTCCGATTTGTTGAAAATGATACATATTTCCAAGATAATTTTATCAATTTTTTTCCTTATGTCAATAAGCGACAATCCATCAAGTTCATTGTGTGATTTCACTAATAGCCCATTTAATAACGTGTCATTGATTTCACTCATTGTCGAAAAAAAAATCGTTCAATACTTAAATACCAAATGACATAACTACTTAATTAGTTTGAAAAACTAATTTAACAACATTTAAGAGTGCAGCCTAGATGTCTTACCTAACCTAACCAAATAAAACGAAACCATAGAAATATAGAACTATTATTCAAGTTTTTAGTATTGCAATAACAACGGTAGTTAACATATTCTAAAATTTGTATTAACAGGTTAATACATTAATTCAGAGCGTGGTACAAACAAAATAAATATTTTTGTACATTTGAAAAAAATACAAGGTCATTTTGATAAAGTTTGTTTGAAAACGAAATGAAAGGGTTTGAACATCGAAATCACCAAAAGGCACATTATTGACACTTTCACCGTGCACACACAAAATTGTATCCCCTTGGCCTTATACGGAGGGTTTGTAGGAGTGTGTACAAAGCTAAAAAAAAAAAAAAAAAACGCTTATACCTAATAGAACGCGTAATTAAAAATTCGAAACCGATCGTACAATATACATATCATAATACTCCAGACGGCGCATTCGTTAAGTTGAATTTATTTATTTATTTCTACGCATAAATTATTCATTTGTACATTCAAAATTATCAAGTTCATATTGAAATTCACCGAAAATGTTATCATTTTAATCCGCCTATAAATAAAAACTATAATCACCGAGTTTGTGTTTTGAGCACAAATGTAACAGGAAAAAGATACAATAATACCTATATGACAGACACAGTACGGCATAATAGTCTTTATTTTCGGGGAAAATCCGACAAAGAAAATGTCATACTTACACGCCATTCGATTTTTACACGACCAATTTAAATTATTGAAATTATTCCATAATATCATATGTTTGTATATATATATGTATATAAATCCCCGACTTTTTTTAACAATAATTTTAGGCAAACACGCGTACCTATATACAATTTAATATTAAACAATTTTTTTAATTCTACAGGTTATTTATAAAATAAATATTATAAAGGGTATTTATGATGGTATTTTATTATGTTTGTAATACGAGTAAGGTATTCCGGTCGGGTGAACTAATATTGTGCATTTATATTTACACAGTATTTTACGGGGGGGGGAGGCAGTGTGTGTTTAATCTTTTTAAGCAGCGATTCGAATACGTCCTTTCCGTACACCGATACACGTTCGAACAATACCTAAACGATTGAACAAATGCGAGTAAAATGTTTACGAAATATCATCTTAAATAGGTTGGGTTTTATAGGCAATATTATCAATGATAATAAAAAAAACTCAACCGTTCAAAATATGTACATACCTACCTAAATGTGTATGCATGTAATGAAATCAAGACTACCCGTATTGTTTTTATTAACAGACCCGTCGTAATATCCGATACATTTGATATTTCGGTCGTTCGTGACGCGCAATGCAAATCACTCGTGTTTTAAACCTACGTTTCAATCTAATACAAGTGTTTTATTTTATCTGCATATTTAGCAGTTAATTTTAAAATTGTAAGTGAATCGACGGGAATTTCTCTGCGGTAAGGCGACGGCCGTCTGAGATGTTATTTCGATTTGACCGGCATAAGTCATTTGTGGCGGCGTTTTCGTCGACTGAGCACTGATACCGGGTGTCCGGTCAGATAAATTCCACAGCCCGAAATATGAACGCAATTGTGAAATTTCATACAGACCGGACAAAAATACAATTAACTGTTTATCCGCGGTTATTGATGTGTCTAGTCCGACGGGATTTCATTTCAATTTCCTCTCCCCCAAACAGCTTCATCGCTTTTATCTATACGAACCCGACGTGGTTTTTATACGACCGGATTTTCGCCGGTTTTGTGGGCAAATAACTTCTCCAGAGCAGTACAATACAGTCGTGTATCGATATAACTCGGGTTCGGACCGACCGGTGGATTGGGTTTTCGCGTACCGCGAGGTAGCGGACATAGTCCGGATAATATGATATACCCATTATACAAACCTGTGCGATATTCAGAAAGAAAAAAAAACACATACACACTCGAACGACCAATGGCCGTCTCGGGGTAAAAAAAAAAAAAAAGGTATCCGCGTCCGGATGAGCGACGCCCGGTTTAATGTCCGAAAAAAAAAAAAAGATCGTGCGTTGAAATATAATACGGAATAGCGCGCTTTGTGATAAATCGTATTATTGTATTTCCGAGGAGGTTTCGGGACGGTTTTCCGACGTAGCTACGCAGATCGCGACGCATTATACTGGGAAAATTCGGAAAATAACTTCCTCACATTTAAAACAGTATTACGACGTAGCCCGCGGCGTTCGATTTTCCGCGTAATTCGGTTACCGGCTGTACGTCATAATACAGGTAGCTGAAGTACGCAGCTCGTTTGGCTTTTATTTACGTGTTTGGAAAACTTTTAAATTTAGTTTTTGTTACATCGCCGCCGCCGAAAAAAGTAACGCATTTTCACGACGTCGTTTTGCTCGGCGTCGAGAAAAAAAAAAAAATAAAAAAAAATACTCATATTGCAAATCGCAATATATTGCGTTCGTGCGTTAAAAAATCAATATTCGCCTTTTACTACGTATGTTATTATTGTAATGTCATGAATCACGAAGGTCCGAACAGAAAATATATGCGTTGCTCGTTCGGATTTCGTCTGCAATCGGTGGCAGGCAGGTGTGCATATCTCGAGCGTATCGATCGACACGGCAGCCGGTCGAAAATTACGAACAATCAACGAACCAAAGTTCATGATATAACCACCGTAAATACTGACAAATTAAATAGTAATTGATAATTCCAATAAGAACAAAATAAAATCTATTGGATCGTGTTGCAATAATATTTTTCATATATTATAATAGTAATTGCGTTGTGGCCAAAAATTATTTCTATTATTATTGCAATTTCGTATTCGATTCGAAAGGGATTAATAATAGTCTTTAAACAAGATTATAGTCGTTAAAAATGCAATTTTACAGTTACGTTATTACATTACGAACTTGCTATCTGAGATTATTTTCCTTTTTATCTTTTTTTTTTTTTTTTTTTTGAAAAATTAGACTAGTTTTTATCGCATTAAAATAATATTTTTGTTGTATTATATCAGAAATTCGAAATTCAAAAATTGTGTCGACGATGCATATCTCGTTCGTTTCGATATTTCAGCAGTCGATATATTTTCACCTGTCGATATTTCATACTTTTCGATATTTCGACTGCGGTCATTTTAACCCGTCGACAATTTGATTTTCGATTTCGAACACAATGTTATTCACTATAGTTATGTATGTTTGACTAACAGTATAATATATACAACATTGAATTATAGTTTACAATTGACTTGTTCAAAAAAAATAAAAATTAAAAATAATAATAATAATAATAATTTCTGAAAGAAGAAGAAAAGGTTGATAGTGTTTTTTTTTTTTTCATTTTATTAAATTAAGCATACATATTAAACTATACAAATATAATTGCTCAAATGTAGGTCATGAGTAGACCACAGAATTGTATGCACTAAAAGTATCAAAATATGCAGACAAAATCGTGCAAACATGCAAGAAAAAAAATTATTTGTGAAATAAAAATTAAATTGTTGTCGGGTTAGCCAATGAGAATTTAAAAGTTGGATCTAAAAAAAAAATAAAAAAAAAATGATTTTTATATAATAAATCATGCTTTTTTCTTGTAATTCGATAACAATATTATATGAAATCAAGATAAAATTACAGAATAAACACTCTTAGTTGTTGTATTTTTAAGTCAATGGGGAGAAGGATGTAAGTCCTAACCGGGATCTCATTTCGAGGAGCTGGGCTAGGAAGCTGCAGCCCCCGGCCCCGACATAATTAGAGGCTCTATATATTAATTTGGTTCGGTTAAATTATTTTAGTTAAATTTGTTAAAGTATAAAATATTTTACCACTTGCGACGAAATTTTAAATTGTCAACTATAATTGATAAAATTATCTGTTATGATAATTTGGAAAATCGTATATAGTCGTCATTATAACCCGGTAAAAATCTTTAAACGCGTACGTACCTATACTAGCTGTGTGTTATGTGATATATGTGTATGAAATAGATTATCAGTTCAGTAGTTTTATGCTACGCGACGCACCGATGCTCTTGTAATATTACGGTATACATTTGTTTATCGTTTTAAGTTTCTATCAATAATATCTGAAAAAATAAAAAATCGCCCAATTGGTGTAGAAAAACGTAAATTAAAAAAAGGAGGGCGAATGCGCAGTAAGCAAATTTCTCGAGAGGACCAGAATATTTCCAAAGTGCGGACTCTAAAAATTTCACTTATCTGAAAAAAATTTTAAATTCATAATCATTCATTAAATATGTCATATCGTTTGTAAAGTACAATCACGTCAATGGCATATGTTTTCTGAACGTATTGGAAACGTATAATGAAATGATTTTAAAATTTAAGTTAAGAAATCCTACCGGAACATTAGCCTTGAGTCCCGAAATTTCCGAGGAGGGCTCTGGTCCTCAGCTTCACCCTTTGCACGCGCCACTGCAGGAGTAATAATGATAATTCGGAAATGTATAATAAATGGAGACAAACAAGTTTAAACTGTAGTTATTTAACGGTTTTATATTTAATAACCCATCGAACGGTATTATACGCGCGATGCAGCAATGTGCAATCGTCAGTTTGACGAGTTTTGTCCCGCAGCTAACATTATTAACTGTATGTAATATGTGCACACGAAAATCAACTGTGAAAAGTCTAATGTTTATGAAAACTATAAACCGATTCGTTTATCACGTGCATTTAAATATGAAAATAATTAATTACAAGTAGGTAGTTAAATGAAAAAACCTTTAAAAGGAATTAACTTATTTAACTATACAGGTATAGGTAAGTTTTCACCTATTGCTCACGTCTCGTTTCGGGCTCGTATAATGATATTTTTTTAATGCACATCTTTAAATGGAGTTTTTAAAAATACATTTCTTTGATACTATCTCGCCCATTATATATGTACACGAACGGTGGTCCTCGTATACCTATATATAGGTAGCCACACGTCGTTTAAGGTTTTTTCGAGTATAAAGTCGTGTCTCAACGTTCGACAGACTGCAGATGACGAGCGGTCGGACAAGGGAAATATTCATATTATAATAGTACAAAGTCCCGGGAGGAGAACCGCGGCAAGATTGTTGTCGGGAACGGGAAAAAAAAAAAAAGAAAAAGAAAAGAACGTATGCAAACGTTCGAGAAACGTAATCGATGTTTATCTGCTCGCATAAACAAATAGTTTTTAAACGACCGTCGCCGTACGAGGTATTATTATTTTACTATCGTTATTTTTGCCGTGTGTTTTCGATAAAAAAAAAAAAAAAACAAAAACAAAAATATCGTATCCCGTCTCAATAGGACCGTTCGACGACGGTGGCGGTGGCGGCGATTTAATTACTACACAGGCAGTCCGGGTCATCTATAGATTGCATGTGTACAGAAGTCGTAATAATAATAATAATGTTATTAAATAAAATAACAGCGGGTGGCGACCATTTATAACGACGAAAACAAGTGCCGATTAGATTGTTATCGTACGAAAAAATCGGATAAAAATAACGATAATTTTAAATGTTTTTTTTTTAATCTGATCGAACCGCATCACACCGACGTTTTCAAAAGAACCGCCTCGGCCAGTGGGTCTTATCGAAAACTATAATGTGATATATAAACATCGCTATGGCTAATATAATGTACTATAGCCCGCCGCATTGTTATGATTCATAGGCATACGTTCTCTAGACAAAGACAGTTTAGTGTCTTTTATCTCGTCTCCAGATAAATGAGAAACGATTGGTGGCCACCTGAACCGTCGTCCGGTATTAAATAATCGAATGATCCAGAAACTAACAAACTCACAATGTATACGTTTATTAGATTCGAAATAGTACCTAGGTCAAATGTGTCATTTATGGGTATCAATTGTAATTTTCCTATACCGATCACGCAATAGTTTTAAAATCGGTACGCGTACCGAATCCGGTACACTTTTATTGCTTTTTTCTGGTTTTTTAATCTAGATAAAAAGTCGCTGATCATTAATAATCTTTATCTAGATAATATTATTCCAGCTATTATAGTTCTGATCGTTATCTAGAATATAGATATTTTAAAATGTATTTTCATATGACACCGCAGCCTACATGGATACAGATGAAAACAATTCGTCCGAGTCTTGTTTAGAACTCCGTATACCTACTGTTTGACAGAATTTCACATCAGCTGTCGATTTGACGCGACCCTATTTATCGCCTCTCACTACAGGTAGTACCGTGAGTGTATTCTTACCTCCTCCCACCGAGATGGTATTGTCAACCATAAAGTGAATTCCTCCACCTTACAGAAACAATTTCATATATACCTACTGGAATCACTCAAAACAACTTTCTACCAGAATTAGGAGCTCGGGGCCCCGAATTCGCTAAATCCATAACACCATAACTTCCCCTACTCCCACAGAGATAATTTTTGAAAAGCTGATAGCGCTGATGGGTACGCTATTACATATGAGAAATTGAGAGGATATATAGGATACACGAAGTTATTTAATTTATAACTATAATCGATGATAAAAAATTGCTAACGAAGTACGATTCTGAACAAAATTATTGTACACATATTGTTTTGACGTGCCGTAATATTTACGATTACCGTTAAAATACGCTTATTAAAAAAAACGACTTCATTGTGCTCGATTTTTTTTCTTACCATACTTTAAGCTTATAATAAATCTCAAATTTAATTTTCAAGCACGTGTATTTAATTAAATAATTTCATCCACAGAACACCCACAACATGAAAGCTCGTAAAAACTTCATTAAAAAAACTCACAATATAAAATGCATAACATATTTAAGGTCTCTGCGATAATTTTTAACCAATTTACAACGAAAAACGAAAATTGAAAATAATGAAACCTTAACGGCGTACCTATACTTTCCCGTATTTCCTAGGAATTTTCTAGTTTTTCTCCATAACTATAAAAAATGATTGGAAAATCGAATCACGGATTTCTTATTCTAAGGTACTCTAATATCTAAAATTAAATAATAAAAATAAAAAGGTCTCTTGTTATTTTTTGATCGGAATAAAATTTCCTGTAGAAAAGTTGAAAAAAAACACACGTATCATAATAAAACCAATCATATTTTTCGCTATACTCAGAATCCAAAATTAGATTATATGGCTTTAGATGTGTACTTTTACATTTTTAAAATCCGCATTATTCCGTTTTCACGACCCGTACGTTTCGTAAGACGGAAACATCAGATTGATGGAGTCATATTATCATTCACTTGACGTTTTTTAGATTCTGAGCGTGATGGGAGTTCGCTAATGGTTTTGTAAATTACCGGCCAATTAGAGGCGAAATTCAACAAAAAAGGCGTTTTGTCGTGTTTCGATTGTAGCAAGATTTCTAGGAGAAGAATCGTTTATAGGCAAAAAATAAAATAAACGCGCATCGTAGTAAAACCGATAGATCCCTCGCTTCGCTCAGAATCTAAAATTTCGGCGAATACGTTTAGAACATGTTAAACCGTACACGGTTCTCGGACTCTCGCGAAAAATTCGGGTTTCGGCTCTTATACATAGCCTCTTCTAACGGTCGTTATACGCGAGTATTATGGGAAAAAATCAGCTATGATACTCGGTGTCGCAGAGGCGATTATAATATAACGTGAGATTGTATTGTCGGTGTGTCGAACAGACGGGCTGTCGTCGTCGGCATGTAGAAAACTACCGAAAATATTATCGTCAACACGTGTTGTGCGTGAGGCGGACAAAGACGATTTAATAATATTTTTGTTTCGAGGGGACACTGCGTACGGCGGATACGCGTTTTCCCGTTCCCGTTATAGAAATAGCCGTGGAACGCATTACCACCAACACGAATTCGGTTTTTTTTTTTTTTTTTTTTAAGAACACTTATAATTTAGTTCGTATACGAATAATAACGATTATTACCGGATTCTCGAGCAATTGCATCTTATTTTTTTATTATAGGTGTTCCAAAACCTATAGAAACAATTATACCATAGTTTTTAATACGAATCGAGCGAAGCAGATTAATTTAAACGAAAATCTGTTTCACACAAAATTGCGCGTTTTGGGATTTTCGCGTTTGAAACGCGCGAATTCGTATTTTCTCGAATTTTATTTTTATTTTTTCGTATCAACCTGTTGTTATACAGGTATTACACACTTATTATTATCCGTAGTGTATGTTACTTTATATCGAAAATATAATACAGTTTTAATCTTTACTACGATAAGAATGCTCGAATTGATAAAGTAAAAGAAAATGGACCGTAAGATATGAAAAAAAAAAATTAGCGTTCCTTGCAATTATTCAACTCAACCCAACCCGTTTGGGCTCAGCCCTCCACAACTCCCACACCAATTTTCAAACACAATTCAGTAATTCACAATTTCCGAAAACAAACACTACCTACTGTAGGCTAACTTTTGCTTACATAGTACTCTAATATAATGGTCACTACTATGATTCTATTATGGTGATGGGCTTGTTCTTTTTCTGTATACGACCGACTTTTCTACCCGAAATCCTGCTCTAATTATCAACTTTAGAGGCGACGGTTTCTAGTAAAAATTGTCATCTCGTTGGTGCTATAAGGAGGTTATTTTTTGATTTTTCTTTATTGCAGGCGCGGTTCCAGGACTAAATTTTCGTATGGGCAACAGTAGATTTAAAATTAGATTTTTAACTGCAAATAATATTCCTCATTTCCTCCCCCTTCCCCACAATATTTATTTTAATAAAATTATAGTATTATTATTATTATAGTGTATAGCTTAAAATATTCATATTAATTATAATAGATAGGTAATAAAGGTTTTAAATATAAAAAAAAAATTAGAGTAATCCATAGTTTTGAACTAATTATGTATAATTATGTTTATTTAAATATATTTAAATTTAACTGTCAAAAAAGTTCAGACTGTTCAAACTAATTTTAAAAAAATAGTAAGCTAAATTTGAAATTGTATTCTTCTGTTTTTCGTGCTTGCAAACACTTCAAGGACAACAGTTGGATCTTTTAATAATTTGTCTGAGTTTTCAAAATCAATTGATAAAAGTGTAAGACTACTTAATCGTGAACTCTTCATAATTGATCTTAAATATGTCTTAACACGGCGCATGGTGGAAAAACTGCGTTCTGCACTAGCTGAAGACAGGAATGACCATGACCAATTCAATTTTTTTTTTTAACATGGTAAAAAGTCTTACCGTAGTTGCTTATTTGTTGATGTAGGTCAGATAATGTTAAATTATCCAAAAATAAAGATTTTCCAATCAGACACTGTTTCTTCAATACTTCTATAAAGTCATTAGTTGTATATGGTTGATACATATTATCTAATTTAACTAACAAATCTGAATTTAGAAATTAATTTGATTTGGGTCACTTGCATGGGTATAATTCAATATTTCATTGTTTTGTGTAAATCTATAAATCATTTCATTATTCATGTTATCTAAAATCTGGAAAAAGACTCTTTTAAATTAATTTTCTGTATCTTTAGAGGACATGTTTTGTTTTTATTTTTTACTAGTACTAGCACCAAGTGTTGAATAAGTTAAATAGTTATCCAGTGTTTATGAAATTCTCTGTTCTCTTGTTGGACGTAGTGTATCGTTAGGTTCAATATTCGAAGTCTGAATTACACTTACAGCTTCATTGTAAATATTGATGAATATTTTTTCTGACCTTAAATTGATCAATTGTTCCATAGTGGATTTGATTAATTTTGCAAAATGGCTATAGTCAAGTGTTGTTGTCTGTAAGTTTAATGATAGAATATTTACTAAAGACAAAATAAAATCCAAACAAAAAAATAACACAATAGTTTTTAAAGAATTCATTTGAATTAGTAAACCTTTAGCTTCAGCAGCTTCCTTTGATTTCGAACTTTCATTACACTCTTTTAATGCTGTTAATACTAATGTAAAGTTGTTTTTAAAGTAACGAATATTTTTAAATTTTGATACCCAACGTGTGTCATAGTGCATAGGGACTTTCGACCCAGTTTTATCGAAAAATACTTGATACTTTAGTGTTGATAATGACTGAAATGCATATACTGCTTCCAAGGGACCTATAGTATCATGTACTTCTTCTACCTTTCTTGAAACCTCAACTAAAACTAAATTCAATTTATGTGCATTGTAATGTATATATGGACACAAATTTCCTGACATATCTTTAATTTTTTTTTGGACTCCGTTGAACTGACCAGACATAACTGTTGCTCCATCATAAGACTGACTTACACAGTTACTCAAATCTAGTCCAAAATTATTCAAAAATAATTTAATATTACAGCTTAGGATATTAGCATTTAGTTCTTTGAGTTCAACAAATCCTAAAAACCTTTCTTTTATCACTGAATTATGTTCATACCGAATACAAATACTCATTTGCTCTAATCTTGCATCGTCTCTGGCTTCGTCAACAATTAAGCTGAATATTTTACTACCTTCTTGTACTTCTTTTAAAATAGACAGAGTAATCACTGTGGAAGCTGCACTTATCATATCATTTTGAATTATTTTACTATTGTATTTTGCATTCTTTGGTAACGCTTCATAAGCTGAACAAAAATGTTTGTATAAAAATAACATTTTTAAAATAATGGGCATCAGAAATTTTGGTATGGGCAGCTGCCCACCCTGCCCATACGCTAGAACCGCCACTGCATTATTGTATTCTTAACTATGAGGAAAACCCTAGAAAAAACGTCAGGAAAACTTGTAACTGTTACATTTATTTTAGTGTTTATTATTTCATAGTTTTTATTCTATTTCGTTTATTCAATGATAAATAATCGTAGAGGTCAGAAATTTCACTGAATACTTTTAAAGGCATAGTCTCTTATCAGCTCTTTCCAGACATGGTACCTTGTATCCTCCACTGCACCCCATGCGTTTCACATCAAACAAATAGTAAAGGCACGCTTACGTTTCTGAACAGTTACTTGTGGTACTCCGTCCCCATGTGTCCCTCACCCCTCAATTCGAGCACTGTAAGGATGATAATATTATGATAAAATCTAAAAATACTATCGATATACGGGTGGCTATAGCACGTCACGCAGTCCGTGATTAGTATTATAGTATGTGGAACCTAACCTGGTGTACCGGGTATAGTCTATCAGTCACAGCCGTAGCTTATATTACATTTCATACTATTATTACTCGTGTTTTTTGACGTATACTTAAATATTTTACTTATATAATTCAATTAAAATGTCGAAAATAGGTAGCGATCATTCGTCTAAAATAAAATATTGGATTGATAATATTTTATCTACAAATATTAATATAAATTTGAATTATTACGAGCAAATTGTTATTTAACTCCTATGGTACATCGAAAATTTAGTTTCGCACGTTTTTCAGCATTTTCGCTGCATCCGGGCTTTAATTATTGCGATAGCGCGTATCCCTGAGGGTAGTAAACATTTTTCTTTTGGAAGGGAAGTGCGATCCTTTGCATACTTCGCCGTCTTTAATTACGTATCATTTTCTATTATAAAATATTAGCCTCGTCCGAGCAAAAACTGAACGAATTTTTTTTTCCTGATATTCGGGGTGGCGCGAATACACGCGCCTGTTGAATGGTCGGGACCGGCATTTCGACAACAGAATCCGACCGAATGTTATTATCACCGTCAACACGTGTATGTCCGGGAACAATGATATCGGATCGTTCGCTTTCTCTTACAGTATAGTGACGAACATCTCGTTGATCCAGTCATACGAGCAGACGACCTCCAAACTTTCCGACTTCCACCGACAACTGGTATCTGTATAGTGTTTCTACAATATTATACACGTTGTGTGCACTGGGGAATTTTAAGGCCGTTTATCGGACGAAACCATCAACATGTAAAACTCAGGAAAACAAAAAAAAAAAAAAAAATCTCATAAATATTAATGAATTGTGCTATTATTTATTTACAATCGAGTCTCGATTGTTCGAAAACCTCAATAATTGAAAATGATATATATCTTTTCTCGTAGGAGTCCTTAGAATTTAACGGCCGGACAAGCAGGCGCCAATATTTTTACAGGACTCCCCCACTAGAAAAATGAGAACGTATAGCGTTTAAATATCTTATAAACTAAAACGAGCTGATACTGCTTACGGGCACGCCACTGTTGTAGATGGAAAGTTGGGAAGGTAGGGTACATAAATGTATTTAATTTATTAGCAACGATAAACCATTGCTAACAAAATACGGTTCTGAGCGAAATTCAGTTACAGGAACGTGTTTTGAAATGTTTTGAAATATTTACGATTTTCATCAATATTCGATCTTAAAACGATTACTTATAAAAACCAATTCCAAATACGCTTAAATTTTTGTTTTCGCCGCTAATTGAAACTTATAATGAACATAGCGTGTTAAATTTTCAAACATTTCTGTTAGGTAAAACAATAAATATAAATATAAATAATAGCCTTCAAATAGCTCAAATATAATTTCTGAATATTTTGAAACTTTAATCACGCCTGGAAAAGGCTAATAAATGTTTTCTTTCGGATCTCTTCAAAAATGCTTATGGAAATTACAAGAAAAAATCTGTCCTTGTTTTGAGGACGGATGCAGCTACTGTTATAGGTAATTTAATGTATATCTATAACCCACGATTAACCATTGCTAACGAAAAACGATTCTAAGCGGAGTTCAGTTGATAGGTTTTTTCTGCGTTTTTCCCATTGGGGAAACTCTAGAGAACATTAAAAATGACGTCATTAAAATACCTCCTCAGTCAGATTTCCTTTTAAGAAAATTGCTATCATTGTAAATCGGAGCAAAATTTGTCAGAAAAGTTGTCCACGGAAAAAAAATAAACACCAATGTAAAATCATAAGCTTCTTCGCTCCACTTAGAATCTAAAACAAAATTGAAAATTATAAATTATTATTTCCACAAACTTTCCCGTTCTTTTTACGTTATCTCCCGGTTTTGTTCAACTGTTAAGAAAATTACATGGAAAATCAAAAAAAGACATTCTTGCTTACCGATTGAATTAAAAATTTAACAAAAAAGGTCTCTTGTCGTTTTTTTCCATAAATACTGCTCCAATAGATAAACGACAAGATACCCTTTTTATTATTTTCTTCATCTAGTTTATGAGTAGAATATTCGGTTTTTGATTTTCTTTTTGTAATTTTATTAATAATTGAGCATAGCCGAAAAAAAACGTAGATATAACGGGAAATTTTACGAGAATAATATGCTTTTATTATTTTCAACTTTGTTATTTCGTTGTAATTCAGGTTAAATAATTTGTAGAGACTCTTGAGATTCTTGCTTTTTTTAGACATGGTAAAATTTTTGAAACATTTAAGCTATTTATAGACATTTTAATAAAGACGTAATTTTTTTTTGGTAGATTAACTCTGTAAATAAATTGTTAGACTTAACATAATTGTTTGGATCTGTATAATAGAAGGTTCATTGTAAGTCGTACTTAAAGTGTTTTTTTTTTTTATGATTTTTAAATCCAAATTTTGACAAAAATCGTAAATATTATGGCCTTTCAAAACGTGTACAACCGAATTTCGCTCTTAATCGTTTTTCGTTATTAACGGTTTATCTTTCGTGACAGCTATAAATCAAATAATTTTACGGATCCCACCTTCCTCTCTACCCACCTACAACAGTGGTCGCACACGTCCCCAGTATCAGCTCTTTTTTCAATTTGCTTTGTAGTTTTTTCAATAAATATGACGTTCAAATTACCAAAATTAGGCTGCATAATTTTTGTTGATTTTTGCCGGGTTATCTCGGCAACAAGGGGAAAATACGACTAATAATATAACTCTATTCAGAGTTATTAGTAACAAATCGTTTAAATTATAAAGACATAAAAACCAAAAAAAAAACAAAAAAAGTTCCGATTTTGAAACAAATTTACCGCGCGCACACCACAACAGTTTGGCAAACGAACACACAATATTATCAATATTAATGACATTTTCGTGTTGCGCGGACGCTCGCCAAACACGACCCGACTCCAATCGGGTTCCCGTGAGATACCTTTTAATAATGGGCGTCAGTCGTTTCCGCCAATTATCGTATCCGGCAAAATGAAAAAGGTTCGATTGTCGTATCCGCCAAATCTATTTCAACCTACCTAGCTAAATTATAGTTGAACGTCCATTTATAGAGTTAACCTGCAGGGAATATTTGTTTGGGACGACGTGTACGAAAGATTAAATATGATCCAGAATCATTAGATTGGTTTTTTTTTTTTTTTTTACCGCTTTTACTCGTTATGAATTCGGTTTAGAAAAAAAAAATACGTTCATATATATGAATTCCAAAACCTTCGATAAATATAGGTAAATATATATATTATTCACGATTCGCTATCGATTTACTCGGGGTTAACGAATTCCCGCGGCTCTACGGCATCGTAACACGCGAATTTTCGTCGCTGTTGTCACATAAATACACGCAGTTTCCCATTAGCTCCGGATATGAATATGTTGCCACTGGAACTAAATACAATAATGCGTACCGTACTAAATAACACTTGTAACGTGAATCTGAAATTATTTGTTTACTAACGACAATTGTTCAGTGACTTTTTCATTTTGTCTTTTTACAACAATAATACGGTACCTATGTGTGCGTGTGTATGTGTGTGAGCGCCCATATGTTTAATAATTCTATTTTGTAAACTGAGATAACCCCCCCCCCCCGGGCCTCCACGACGCGGGTTTTTTCGCAGTGAGACCAAAAACAATGTCAACTCTGAGCCCGCGATATCGCGCGCACTGCACCGTGTCTGTAGACGCGTTGACCGGCGTGTATTGTAATTATTTATAATCAGTAGGAATCGCGTCTGCACGTCGACGACCGATAATCCTGTGTTTCGGTTATAAAAACCGATTTCGTGCTGTCGGTTCTAGTACTGGAGTGTACGAGAGCTGTTATCAAACTATTAACGGTAAGAACACCGTCTGCTTTTGTACGTGGGTTTTTTCATGCGTGTGTTTTAATTTCCGCGTGCGTTACGACGTGTACGAGCACGTGAAACATTGCGGTATTTGGAAATCGTCGAATCGGTATTAAAAGATTAAAACATCGTGAAAAAACCCAACGTACGCAAACGCAAACAACACGCTTACCCCGGAGTTAGTTAACAGGCCTCCGATACACTCCGATATCAAAACCAACAGCGCACAAAATAGGTTGAAGTGTAATTATAACGACATTAACCGATTTTTAAAAACGTTCACCGGAGACATACACGTTAGACCATAGGGGTTCTCAAACTCCGGTTCGATATAACATATAGACGTATGGGTACCAACAGATTTGGCGGAAACGAAAATCGCTTTGCAGGCGGAATGAATGGAGATACAATTGGCGGAAACGAAAATCAAGTGTTTTTTTTTTTTCGCCGGAAACGACGGCCGCCATTTAAATAGAGACCCTTTTATTTTTTATTTTTTTTCATGTTTCGCGATTAGCCGGCTGACGATAATCCGCGCGTCGCGGTCGCCGTCCGTGTGAACGTTATACGTTTCGAACAAACGATTTGCCCGCGGATGGCTACCGCGCGGAATCGATCGCCGATGGATTACACCGCGCGTTTTCACACGCGACCTCCCGTAGTTTACGGTCGTCGTCGTTGTTGTTGTTGTTTTTTTTTTTTTTCTCGGCCAAACGCCGTGTGCATCCAAACATCGTAAATGTCACATACCCACTGCTACCATTATTATTATTATTATTATTATGATGTGCGTACAATGTCGTTTCGCGGCGTGACTATAAAACGGCCTTCCCTTCGCCGCCGCGCGCGTTTACCCGCACCGCAGACGCCGACCACGGCGATGATGGGAACGGCGCACCCGATCGGTTCTGATGAGAACCGGAGCTCTCCGGTGCACCTCTCTCGGCGGCGACCGACTACTTTTCTCATCCTTGTTTTTTTTTTTTTTTCCGTCCGTCCGCCCCCCCCCCACTCCCCATTCGTCTATACGCGGTTTACCTGCCCGCGGTGTACGCCACTAGCTGCCGCAGGTACCCGTGCAACGATCGGAAATCGCTACTGACCCGACGCGCAAACAACAGGAGTGAGAAAGGAGAAAAAAAAAATAACAAAAACACCGATCGTCTCTATTGTCGCGCGACGGGATTTCGAATGTTTGCGTCCCGCGCGCGCGCGCCCCCGTAACATCCGTCGTCCCGCACGTCTTATAGGACCGCGAGTGCGTTTCTCACGGGCGTTTTCGACACACCGGGCACCGCCCCGCGAGACGGGACCGTCGGCGCGCAGGTAGCCGCCCGCCGGACGAAAACGAAATAAAAACCTGCGCTCCATCCGGAACAACCCTTATTTTTTTTTTCGTTCCCCTCTTCTTCTTCTTCTTCTTCTTCTTCTTCTTGGTCGTCGTCTACTTGCCCGCACAGGTACGTGCAAGGCGTGCGTACTGCGCGCCGGCAAAAGCTTCGGGAGGAGACGGGTTTCGGGGAAGAAGAACACATAGTATAGCGAACGAAAAAATAACAAATAAATAAAAAAACGACCGTAAATTAATAATCACAATTTTTTCTCGTTTTATTTTCACCGTAATAATATCAAATAATAAACACGCGAGTGTACGTGCGTACAGACAAACATTTTATTTCCGAACAAACACGATCGTCAATGTATAACGCGTTTATTAGCTTCCCTGTATGTATATATATATATATATATGATTGTATATTATACGAGTATATAAATATAATATTTATAATAATAATAAAAAAATAAATAAACTAAAAATGTCCCTCGAAATACATGTTGTGCGCGACGGAGAGAGAGGAAAAACCGAGCGACGCGTTAATGTGCGACGAGCATCATTGGTTGTAACGATATCCGCGGGGCGGCGCGCGCGCGCGTCTCGTCGGAACGACTAGTTGCGAAATTATGGCGACTTAAACGATAACACCAGTCCGTACGGTAAATAATAATAGCAATAATAATGACAATGATAAATAGTACGCGGTAATAGTAATGACAATAGTGATAATAATAATTTACACGCCCGCGCGGGGCGAGTTGGTTCACGTGGAACAAGTAACGCGCGCGTTAATTCGGACAGGGCGGCGAATCGGCGGGGCGAGCGGACGGACGGCGGGGCACGATCGCCCGGTCGCCACTCCGCCGGGCGGCGGGCCGGTTCGCGCGCTAATGTTTCACGCGTAGATACGTAACAACAATATTTGCGCGCGTTACTCGCGCAACGAGACGATAATAATAAAAAAAAAAAATACATAATAATGGGCGAAAAAAAAAATATATATAATAATAATAATAATAATAATAGGTAGAGTGCAAAATAGTTGTATAATATTATCGAAATCAATAATGTGACTAGTACGTCTATGCAATAATAATAATAATAATAGTAATAATAATAATAATAATAATTAATACGCGTAATATGAACATGATGATATTATACGCAGCCGAATAATATAATAAACATAGACGATATCGTCGGTGGGACTCTGTGGAATACAACGTTATCGGGCCGAGATACAATTTTCCGCGGGCGAGGCCAGGGCAGGGAGGTGCACGGGGAGGTAAAGTAGAGGGAGGGGGGGGAGGTGAACTTTCGTGTACACGCGGTCCGGCCGGTTCCGCTGCGCGCCCCAGGCACTACTGCAGTTGCTGCTGCTGCGGCGCGAGCCGCGGACATCCGGTGTCGCAGTGTTTGGTCAACAGCGACATGCGGCTGAACGTTTTGCTGCACGTCGGGCACGAGTATTTCTTCACGTCCGAGTGGGTCTGCAGGTGGGCCCGCAAATTGGACCGGTCCGCGAACGCCCGGTTGCAGTGCGGGCACGAGAACGGTTTCTCGCCCGTGTGCGTGCGGATGTGGCCCTGCAACAGCCACGGCCGGCTGAACGCCTTGCCGCACAGCTTGCATATGCACGGCAGCGTGTGCGTCCGGATGTGCATCTTGAGCGCGCCCAGCGTGTTGTACGCTTTGTCGCAGTACTTGCAACAGAACGTCTTGGCCGCGGCCGTCGCGTATTCGTCGTCCGAACAGTGGAACTGCTGGTGTTTGGTGAGCCCGGACACGGTCGAGTACGTTTTCGTGCACGTGCCGCACTTGTACCGCGCGGCCGCACCGGCCGGCTTGCAGTTGCCCGCGCGCTTCGCGGCCGTCTTGCCGTCGGCCGTGGCCACCGACGACGCGTCGCTGTCTCCGGAACACGTCTGGTACAACGGTTGCTGCTGCTGCTGTTGCTGTTGCTGCTGCTGCTGCTGCTGCTGCTGCTGCTGCTGCTGTTGTTGTTGCGGCCGAGGCGGCGACGGCTGCGGCGGTCCGTACTGCAGCGGAGAAACGGTCAGCGGGCTGACCTGCAATGGCGACGGTAATTGTTGCTGCGCGTCCGGCGGCGACACGTTGCAGCCGTACCACGGCAACAGTGCCGGCGGGCTGACGGTCGCGGACGGGGGCGACGCGCGCAACGGTTTGAAAGCGGAACCGGAACCGCCGCTGCCGGGCGGCGACAGCGACGGGTCCCGGACGGCGGCCACCAAAGTGGGCGCCGGGTACGCGGCGGCGGGGAACGCGCGCTCCGCGGCCAGTCCGTTTCCGTGATGGCTGTGGTAAATGTAACCGGCCAGGTAACCGGTGCTCGGGTACTGGGCGGGCACGGGTCTCGGCGTGGTCGGTGCGTAGTGCCGGTTGCTGTGGTGGTACGCCGCGGTCGCCGCGGCCGCCGACGCCGCGGACGACACCGCGGCCGACGAACTGACGTGATGTTCGGCGCCGGCGGCGATGTTCAGGCACAGCGGTTCCAGTGGCCCGGGCTTGACGGCCGTCGGGTGGTACGGGTGGTGGTTGTGTTGTTGTTGGTTGTGCAGCGGGTGGTACGACGGGTGGTGCGGGTAGTACGGCGAGAGCGAAGAGGCGGGCGCCGCGACGTTCAGCGGGTGTTGGTACGGCGACGCGAATTCTTTTTTCACGTCGACCGCCGCGGGCGCGACCGCGGCCACGGCGGACGGTTTGAACTTAACGCTCAGGTCTTGCGGTTTCGTGCTCAGGTTTTCCGGTTCCGTGCACTCGTCCGGGTTGTCTGTAGAAAACGAAAACAGAAAACAACGGGAACATTAATCGACTGTTATCAGTGTAATAATTCTATTATTGCGTGCGACGTTCGTACGCGCCGCGTAATGATAATTATAACGCGATCCGATAGGGTTTAACGCGATTTATTTTCGGGATAAATATAATGCGACGTTACGACCGCGGTCGGTCGTAGATTATTGTCGTTGTTCTATAATGCGATATTTTGCGATCCCCGATCGATGTACCCGACGATAACGAAACGCGCGCGTTGTATAATTACAATTGTAGACGGGCGTATTGAGAACTTACAACTTACCCGGGTATGCGCGGTAAAATTATACCGACGGATTTAAATTACTACACGGGCGCCCGTATTAAAAAAAAAAAAAAAAAAAAATTT